GCATTTTGCTGTTGTCCAGCAGGCTGGGCCATAGGCTCCCAACTCTCCTGCTTGTAGGCATCACACATCACAATTCTCTCCGTGAGGTTCACCTGAATGGCCTCTTACTAGGCTTGAGGCTGGGAAAGAGGGAAAAGCCACAGCATTCTATTCCTGTGAATGCCTTTGAACCAATCTTTCCACTGACACTCCCACCGCTACCCCATCACCTTCTCTTAGATAGGCCTGACGTGGGTGATGGAGTTGAAGGTCCAAGATCATTTTGGCCATCTCCTAAGAAGCCTTGCTTTAGACTGTGGGGGCATTTATCACCCCTTGTTCTTCACTCTGAGGATTTAGACGAAATTTCCAGGCACAGATAAAGTCCTGCTTCATATCCAGTTATACCTGTCAATCTCATCCCCTGCTCTAGTTTAATGTCAAAAATTTGAAGATGCATTAAGTCAGAGAAAGACAAGTATTGTATGATATCACTTATATGTGGAAGCTAAAAATAAAACAAACTAGTGAATCTGACAAAGAAGACTCAACAGATATAGAGAACAAACTAGTCCTTACCAGTGGGGAGAAGGAAGTGGGGAGGGGCAGAACAGGGGTAGGGGATTAAGAGGTACAAACTACAATGTATAAAATAAGTAAGCTACAAGGGTATATTGTACAACACAGGGAATATAGCCAATAGCTTATAATAACTATAAGTGGAGTATAACTTTTAAAAATTGTGAATCACTATGTTGTACACCTGAAACTTATATAATATTGTATAGGAGATAAAAAATGTCCTAGAACTCTGCTTCTGATACTGGAGGATGTGAATAGCCAGACACTATAAGTCACAGCATACCTATCTTGAACATCAATTTTTATATTAAAACATGAATGTGTTATGAGGTAAAGTGCAAAATCTTTGAGGGGGTAGAAAACAGAAACTTTCAAATAAATTGAGTTCACCATCAGCCACTTCATCTATAGATTCTAGGGGTGGTACATGGAAACACTTGAGATCTTTTTTTTTTTTGGCCCACACTGCACAGCATGTGGGATCTTATTTCCCTGACCAGGGATAGAACCTGTGCCCCCTGCATTGGAAGCGCAGAGTCTTAACCATTGGAATGCCAGGGAAGACCCCAGAAGCACTTGAAAAGTTTCTGAGAGAAGTATTTTTGGGGTAGTTGGGCCCTACAAAAACTGGTGTTATGGGACTTCCCTGGTGGTCCAGTGGGTAAGACTCCACGCTCCTAATGCAGGGGGCCCGGGTTCAATCCCTGGTCAGGGAACTAGAGCCTGCATGCATGCCACAACTAAGAGCCCGCATGCTGCAACTAAGACCTGGTGCAGGCAAAATAAACAAATAAATAAACATTAAAAACAAAACAAAACTGGTGTTACCTTTCTGGAAGTCCTCAGGAATACCGCTGAGGCAAATAGAGAAACACTGTTCAAAAATTAGGTCACCCTGACTGTTCCACAAACCAGCTGAGAGAAGCCTTATAAGCCTTCCCTTTAATACTAAGGAGGAAGAGGGGGAATCTAACAGGTCTTCTGGTTATTCTAGAAAGAGCAGGTCTGGATCTCTAGATCAGGGGCAAATACCAGCAGAGGTTTTGTTTGTGTATGTTTTTTTGTGTTTGTTTGTTTGTTCTTTCGAAGATTGCCTGAGCTATGTTGCTTATTTCTACAGGCTGAGGTGCCTGTAGCCTACAGTAAAAAACAGAAACAAAACCAAAACGCCCTGAAAACAAAAGTACCAAGTGCCTCTAAGGAGCAAGTAAGAAGAGAGCTGTGAAAACTGGCCTTCTCTCCACCAAAGGCCTCAGAAGACTTAGTGGGAGGAGTAGATTTGAAGGAGAAAAGGGAATCAGGCAGAATCCAAGGTGGGTGGCTGGGGCCTGAGGAGAAACCCTTAGGAGCCTAATGGTTGGAAGACTTGATGGTTCCTTAGCACATAACAAAACAAAACAGCCTCCACCAATTTAAGACCTCTACTGAACAATCTGACTGCACTGGTAAAGAACATCTCATCTCTAAATTTAACTTCCAATTTCACCGAGATCTCACGTTTTATGATGTACCTGGTTTTCCTTCTGATGTTATTCAGTGATGTGAATCAAGTCCCATCTGCCATTTCAATACGGTGCCTACCTTTCTTAAGAATCTTCTTCACTTTCACATAGTTCCCCTGTTTGACATACTCATGAAGCTGTGCTTCCAAGGAGTCATTTCTTAAGGAACCAAGTTGAACAGGACAGGGGACTGGAAGATGAACGGCCCGAGACATCCTGTTTCAAAAGAAAGCAACATGCTCTAACTGAATCAGAAATGCAAGGAGAAAACATCGATTCTTTCACATTTCTTTCACTTCTTGTCCATTTTCATTGATAATGAACACCATTAGGCGACAATTACTGAAATTACACAAGATTAGGGACTTCCCTGGCGGTCCAGTGGTTAAGACTTTGTGCTTCCACTGCCAGGGGCCCGGGTTTGATCCCTGGTCAGGGAACTAAGATCCCACTTGCCGCGTGGCATGGCCAAAAAATGTAAAAATAAATTCTACAAGATTAAACATACAACAATGTTACTGTTGAAATTGAAGAACTCAACATATTTATCATCAATTCCTTGACGTGAAAAAGTGACGACTACCAAAAAGTAAAATCAGGGCTTCCCTGGTGGCGCAGTGGTTGAGAGTCCGCCTGCCGATGCGGGGGACACGGTTTCGTGCCCCGGTCTGGGAGGATCCCGCGTGCCGCGGAGCGGCTGGGCCCGTGAGCCATGGCCGCTGAGTCTGCGCGTCCGGAGCCCGTGCTCCGCAACGGGAGAGGCCGCGACAGTGAGAGGCCCGTGTACCTACCGCAAAAAAAAAAAAAAAAGTAAAATCAGAAATACGTGTATTTGTTGCGTCATTAAGACAATTAGGAGAGTATTAACTTTGTGGGATTTTTTTGTTTTGTTTTTTGCGGCTTGCGGGATCTTAATTCCCCGACCAGGGATTGAACCCACACCCTCAGGAGTGAAAGCACGGAGTCCTAACCATTGGACCGCCAGGGAATTCCCGGAGGGTATTAACTTTGAGCGGCTAGTATACAAATGCAGTCATTTATGTAGGAAAGTAGATAGTATGTGTGTTGGGTTCCCCGTTCAGACTCTGAAGTTCTCGTCCTGGCTCTGTCACCTCCCTAACTGTGTGACCTTGGAGAAATTATATAACTGATGGGCCTCAATTTCCTCATCTATAAATGGGGGTAATAATAACCAGAGAGCTGCTGAGACGTTAAATAAAATCTTAGAACTCTGTAAAGTGCTTAGAACTCTGCCTGGCACCAAGGAGCTCTCAGTAGTTGTTAGCTGCTACTGTGCACACAAGAACCATGCAAAGAAATTTAAACTTTCCACAGGTGTAGCATCTATACCTGACCAGTGATTGTGGTATACCTACCATGTGTCTCACAGGTGACAGGTACTGTGTAAGTCACCTAAAGTAGGATCACTGTCATCACAATGCTTGGTCTAGCAGGGCAGACAAGTGGCACCAGGCTGGTATTCCACAGACAGTGGATAAAAGAAGGAAGCCCCATTTGCATGAATCAACAAGCATGCATATCTGGGGCATAACTGAGTGTTCCATGGAGAGACACAGAGGGTGGGATATGAGGTGAAGTGAAACAAACACCAGAAAGGTTGACACATTCTGTGGGTCTTCCCCAGCCAAGAGGCTTTTAGGTTACTGAGAAGTAACCCCCTCTTAATTTATCTACTGATAAAATGTGGAAATGCTAATAACTTGAGTGTTTTAACTTTATTTTCTTTGTATTTGTTACTAGCCATGTCAGTGCCTATAGCATCCTAGTAATCACAACATTGTTAAGCAAAGCACAGTGACTCAGAAAATATTGTTTGGTTTAAATATGGGCTGAAGCTTTTATAACTTTCCTTCCCCACCTCCATTCCCCACCCCACCCCACGCCCCTTTCTGCCTCCCTACTATTTCCAGGCATTAAAAAAGAGTAGCATATTTCTATTTGATTTACATAGATAAAGTCTTTAAAGAGGTGATTAAGTTAAAATGAGGCTGTTAGAATGAGGCCATAATACAGTACAACTGGTGTTCTTATAAGGAGACACCAGGGGCACTTGCACAGAGGAACAACCATGTGAACAGGCAGCAAGAGAGTGGCCATCTGCAAACCAAGAAGAGAAGCTTCAGAAGAACCTGACCCTATCGGCACCTTGATCTTGGACTTCTAGCCTCCAGAACCTTCAGAAAATAAATTTCTGTAGTTTAATCCATCCAGTCTGTAGTATTTTGTTATGGCAGTCCTAGCAAACTGATACACTAATAATAGCTAGATATGGCATATGAATATGCATATAGTTTTATTTTAGTTTAGTAAAGGCACGGGTCATTTTAATAATTATAAAGAAAAAAGTTTAATATTTTAAATAAATATTAAAAATATAAAAAGTGCTTATCACCAATTGAAATAATCTACTAAAAAAAAAAGTGGAAAATATTCTTGAAAGGGGAGTCTACAGTTACTATCTCCACTTCATTCATCCATTCAGCTGGAATGGTCTGCTAGTGTGTTATTCTCCCCCATACCCCTGACAGTGGGCTGCTGGCCAAAGCCCCCAATATCTTCTTCTTTTTTAAAAAATATTTATTTATTTGGCTGCATCGGGTCTTAGTTGTGGTGTGAGGGTTATTCGTTATACCATATGGGCTTAGTTGCCCCGCGGCATGTGGGATCTTAGTTCCCCAACCAGGGACCAAACCCACGTCCCCTGCATTGAAAGGAGGACTCTTAACCACTGGACGACCAGGTAAGTCCCCCAATATCTTCTTACACCTGGACAAATCCAATGTGCATTTTCAGGCTCTGTCACACTGGAATGTTCGCCTGTATGTAACACTGCCTTTATTCCTTCTTTATTTTATTGTGGTAAAAATATACATAGCATTGGGCTTCCCTGGTGGCGCAGTGGTTGAGAGTCCGCCTGCCGATGCGGGGGACACGGGTTCGTGCCCCGGTCCGGGAAGATCCCACATGCTGCGGAGCGGCTGGGCCCGTGAGCCATGGCCGCTGAGCCTGCGCGTCCGGAGCCTGTGCTCCGCAACGGGAGAGACCACAACAGTGAGAGGGCTGCGTATCGCAAAAAAAATAATAATAAAAAATATATATATATATACACACACATATACACACACACATACATAGTATTTACCACTTTAAACAAACTTAAAGCGTTCAATGGCATGAATATATTCACACTGTCGTACTATGATCACTACCATCCATCTCCAGAATTTTTTTCATCTTTCCAAACTGGAACTCCATACCCCATTAGATACTAACTCTGCATTTTCTCCTTCTCTCAGGCCCTGGCAACCACCAATTTACTTTCTGTGTTTATGAAATTGACTACACTTGGTGCTTCACGTAAGTGGAAACACTTATTTCTCCTTTTGTGGCCCACAATTCATCCATGTTGTAGCATATTTCAGAATATTTTTCCTTTTTTAAGGCTGAATAATTTCCCACTATGTATATACACCCCATTTTGTTTATCCATTAATCCATTGATGGACACGGGTTGATTCCACCTTTGGCTATTGTGAATAATGCTGCTATGAATATGAGTGTTCCAATATCTCTTTAAATCCCTGTTTTCAATTATTTAGGGTATATACCCAGAAGTAGAATTGTTGGATTAATTTTTTGAGGAATGGCCATACTGTTGAGAAATGGAATACTGCCTGCCATATCAGTAAACAAAGGATGTCACAGTCGTCAGTGATTGCAGCCGCCGTCGACAGTGAGCTAGTGAGCCCTGAGGGAACTCAGGAAAGAAGAGAATACCTGCCACCTAGCAGCCATCAGACTGCAGTCACTCCCTAGGGTGAGCCCTGAGGAAACTCAGGATATGAAAACACAGGATGCTGGCCCCAGATAGCTGAGGTGCACATCAAAGGAATGATTTCGGTGAGCCCAGACTCTTGCATCTTCCCAGGCACAGAAAAGCGCTAAATTCCTTACCTTGAGATATCTGGTTTTCTTTAATTAACAACAATCTTCTGACATTCAGACTATCTACCCTCTGTTGCAAAACTCCTATATATCCTGGCTGGCCCCCTCACTTCCTCGGAGCAGTTCTCTCAGGGTTACTTGAGATGCTATGCTGCCTCCCAAGCTTTAAGTCCTAAAAACCCTCGCCAAATAAAACATAAACTCTCAAGTTCCGGGTAGGTTGTGAATAATTTTTTAGTCGACAATGTTTGCTATAGTGGCTGGACCATTTACATTATCACCAGCACTGAAAAAGTGTCCCAATTTTTCCAGATCTTCACCAATACTTGTTGTATTATTTAGTAATAGTCATTTTAATGTTTTTCAACCTTTTAAAACTTTTAATTTAATTGCATTTACACCAATACATGATGACTACATTTTGACATAAAAAGTTTAAAATAATACAGGTAAATTTAAAACCTCAGGCCCGCTTCAGTTTCATACGTTTTCTACTTTTTTTTCCTAAAGCCAGAGAACTTGGCCTTCGACTGGGCTAATCATTTACTTGCTAACAACCACTTCCTGAATGTTTTTAGTCTTACTCCCCTTTTTCTCCAGTCATCCTACTTTTTTTAAAAAAAAAAAAAACGCCGTCTGCAGCGTACTTAGCGAGGTAACTCACTCTAAATTTCTCCTACAAACACATTTCACTGCCGTAAATTTGGTCGTCTCCCCCTCCATGGAACGCCAGCATTCTGCAAGAACGATAAATACTGAACTAAGAAACATTATCGCACAACTTGGAATCAAAAACAAAATAAGTCCTTTCTTCTACGACATACATACAACTCTTAACTCTCACAATTATCCCATAAAACTCTGGATATCATTTAGGAATTTTCCTCTGAAAAGAAAACCATAAAAACTACCCCAAAATCGCAACCTAATAAAACGAAAACATTAAACGCAGTTACCATTCTTAACTGAAGTAAGTAGACACAGTGAAATACCTATTTTTAAACACAACTTATCAGGGGAAAGCGCGAACGCAGTCCCCCACTACCACAAATTATGCAGTCGAGTTTCCCACATTTGGGGAAATCGCAGGGGTCAGCACATCCGGAGTGCAATGGATAAGCCTCGCCCTGGGAAAACCACCTTGCTGATCATGGTATCTCCCCTGCCAGGTAAGTATGAGTTGCTACAGCTGCCTGGCACCTCACCCTCAGATACGAAACACTTGACACTTACGGTCACTCACTTCACG